TATTAAATTATGTATTTATTTATATTTCTATTATTTTCAGCAAACATATGAATGGGATCCTACGATTGAGAAGACTGTAAAAGATTTATGGAACATGACAGCAAGGATCAAGTTCAAGCATGCACTTAGTGAGTTGAAAGCTAAGTGTGCAAAGAGAAACTTTCAAGCTAAGCTTCCAGATATGAATCCAAAGTTATGGGCGAAGCTTGTTCATTTATGGACTGATGTAATGGAGTAAATTCATGTGTTTATTATTATTTTTTTTAATTTTCAATTGTAATGTTTAATGTTTTTATCATATTATTTATTAAGAAATTATATGTGTTCACCACTTTTACAGGACGAGGGTCATTTGAGAAGGTCAAATTCTGTAAAGGCTAATCGAGCAAAAGGACCGAGAGTGACGCATACCAGGGGTTCAATGGACGTTAATGTTTATAGAAAGAAAATGGTATAAAAGTTAACATATTTTTAATGAATAATTAATGATTTATGATTTATAATTTATTTTATATTGATTTTAATATTTTCTCTTCTTTTCTTTTTCTTTACAGCAACAAGCAAACCTCGAGGGTCGTCCACCAACATATCCTGAGGTCTACACCAGTAGAAGGCAGCACAAAAGAAAAGGAAAAGATCAACTGCTTGTATATTGTAATGATGAGGCTCAAGAAATTGGAGTAATTATTTAACTTAACAATTTTATTTTAAATTGTGTTATGAATTAATTGAAATTATTTGTTATAATATTTAAATTATTGTACAATATAGTTATTGGTAAAAAGTTAGAACTCCATCCTTTTAGGGAAAAGTAAATTGAATTTAGGTACCTAAAGTGATATTTTTAATTTCACTTTAATTTTCAATACAATTAATTATTTATTGTCTTATATTATTTTAGGAAAAATTGACAGCTGAATATACTACTAGACAAGAGGAAGAAGGATTTGACCCTACAATACCTCATGCTGAGATATTACTTAGGGCAACTAGTGGAGTCAAGAAAGGATGGTTGAAAGGTTTGGATATTTACACACATCCACAGGATATAAGTGTGAGTACATCTAGACGAGAACCATTCATGCCACCCATTATAGGACAGTTTAATAGGGTTATCGAATTAGAGCAGACTGTTGAATCATTGAAGGCAAATAATCATAGCCTTCGACAAGCAATGTCTAATGTTTTTGTAGATAATGATTGTCACGCCCCAGAACCCAAATCCGGGGATGTGGCAGACGCCGTGCACTCGTGAGATGGTCCCACAAATGCACAAAGGTCGGAACTTATTCAATTCACAATCTGATACCACAAAATCTGAAAATAAAATTTTAATATTTGCTCTGATACCAAAAATCTCCAAATACAATCTATCTTACAAGATCATGATTTATTTCTAAAATCTATATCAATCTCGAAATGGCTAGCTTTCTAACACGTCACTTCCCGTGGTTTCCCCGTCCTCGGTTTCGCTTCCTGAAATGGTGGATAAGGAAAAATTATGAGATAAACTCAGTAAGTAAAATATGGAGTGCCCTTAATTAAACTTATAGCATGCCAACAAGTGCAATCATGAAAAACGGATACAGTACGGGAATGAAATAGACATCTCCTCTATAGGTCACGGCCAGTGTTATAAACCTCCCACTAGTAGGCACACTATTTACTAGTGTATAATCCCCACTAGCAGGGTTACAGAAACAAACCGGTTCTACAGAAATACATGTCGACATGTGCTAGCGTTTAACCCCCACTAGCAGGGTTATCATAACATAACCACATCGGAGACAAAACAGGCAGAGGTTAACAGAAAAATCATAATTCACCAATCACTTTCAAATCATCAGGACAATCAAATAAACTTCAAGCTGCATGCTCAATTTAATAAAAAGCATAAACATTTCACTTCAAATCAGTCATGCTTGTGTAAAACGAGTTTAGTCCTGCCACCACTTCAAAAACAAATCATAACATGCTTTTAAAAACTATACGGGTATTACCATAAATTTACTTACCTCACTCACATAAAACCGAAGACTCAATCTCGGTGCTAAACTGACAGAACGATCAGGAACCTAATCAAAATACCCCAGAATTAATACCGTATTATCACAAATTCAAGTGAAATCATCATTAAGACTACCCTTAATCACGATGCTATTTCTATAAATCTCCATATTTGTTCTTATATTGCAAACTAATCATTTAAATCCCCGTTAATTGTTGGCCCTCGGTGTGTGAACAGTAATCTGTGAACAGTGACGTGAACAGTACCCGACGTGAACAGTAACTTCAACTTCCAAAAATTGCCCGAACCACTAGCTAATTCACGGGATTCTCTCCAAAAATCACAGCAGTCAATTAACACTCAATCACATAAATCTCACTTGAATTAAGCTAAATCATGGTCTAATTACTATCAATTTTCTCCCCTAATTAATCTAGAATTTCGGACACAAAGGGCAGCAATTTAAATGGCTAAAACTTGCACTTAGAGAAGCTGCCACATACCATAATTCTCCAGCTGTAGAAACCGGAGCTGCAGGGGGAAAGAGGCCGGTGGCAAGCTGCAGGGAAAGCCCATGGGTTTACCCAAAATCTGGAGAAACAATAGATTTAACATGAATCCAAGCTAATTCAAGGAAAAACAGAGGAATTAGAGGCTGTTCTTACCAGAAAAATGCCCAGAATTTCGGGCCTAGCAGCAGCAACGGACGGACAAGCAGAGCAGATCCGGATTCTTCTCTGCAGGGGGGAGAAATTCTGGGTTCTAGATGTGTTCTAGAGCAAGAAAGGAAGGGGAAAATCTGAGCTTCCTACTGGTTTCCTCAAGGGGAGGTGCGTCGGCTTGGCTGGGTTCCTTGCCGGCTGCTACGGGAAGAAAGAAGAAAAGCAGAATCGGGCTGCAGAAAAGAGGAAGAGGAGAAAAGAAATAAGCCATCCTTATCCAATTTCTACTCTTTTTAAACCCCTCAACTTTTAAAATGTTGGCCATTAAACCCAAAACAATATTTCTTTCTCAAACAAGTCCCTAACTCACTTAAATATTCTAGAAAATTTTGGGGTATTACAATGATAGCTTACGGCAGCAACAATCGACCCTTGCAACACAGATGAAGCAACTCTACCAACATTTAAGGATGACCCCAGCGGATACCAGTGGGACAATTACCCCTAGGACACCCCGAGATATTTAGGTTTTTTATATTTTAATTAAATATTTGTATTGACTTTATATTTGTAATAGATATTGGAGACTTATATATTTAT